ACCTGCTCATCGATGCGTTCGATGATGCGCCCGGCATCGGAATGTGTGACGTCGTAGAGGCCGTTGGAATGACGAGAGGACGAACGAGAAGATGAAAAAAAAAAGAAAAAAAAAAAGAACAAGAAGTAAAGGAGAGGAATTAGCTTACCGGTGTGGTCAGGTTACGATTTAGCGGTCGTAGTAAGAGGTAGGAAGAAACGTAGAACACGATATTTTGATTTGAATACACAGTACACCCAACACCTCAATAGCAGTATATACCTGTATCCTGTATCTTCCGATCCGCAGACAGGTATAGGGTATAGGTAGATTCCTATACTTTCTTCACAGAATGACGTGATAATTTCACCACAGGTGAATACCTATCTAGCAATGACAAAAGAAAAACAAGATAAAAAAAGAGACAAATGGAACGATGTTGAATACCATTGCAGACAATTTTCATTCGGAGGATTCAACTTACGATATCAAAATATGTCACCTAATAAATCAGTTATGACTTGGTTAACGTCTGCTGCAAACCAAAATACTATACAACTACAATTATCTCAAGTAGGTAATTTGATTATGTATTGATAGGTACTACTTATCATTTTCAACTAAGAACACTGATTGTACCATCGAAAGAAGGAAGAAGTACACTACAAAACCAATACACTCGAATTTTATTGATACTGCTCCTATCCTCTGAAGAAACGCACTACTTTAAAACACCAGCGGCAAAGCAGTTTATAGAACCATGTGTTTTCGAAAAAAAAAACTGTACGTCTTGGTCTTACCAAGATCACAGAATAGTTTTGTTGTAGGTATGTGTTGATACCGACTGCTTCTTGTTCGACTCAAGAGAAGAATAGAAATGAGGGGAGAAAGTTCAAACAAATCTGGAAGAAAGAAAAACAGTGATTTAGAATCTGCGCCTCGACCTCACTAAGATCACTAGAACCATTCCACTCTCCTTACGGAGATAATCTCTTACAAGATTACTACTTCCAACCAACAGACAGACCCTACAAAGGATAGTATTTATATATGTAGAACCACAGTTTATGGAATATATCTAGCCAAGGAGTTCATGGCCGGTCCAAGCAAATCAAGGCTGCTTGGCAGAGACCACCAAGTACTCCGTCTCCTCATAGGAGTACTCACAGGACATAACAGGCTAGGCAGACACCTATCACTTATGGGAATGGAGGACAACCCCACTTGCCGCAGATGTGGGGAAGACGAGGAAACGTCACTCCATTTTCTCTGCGAGTGCGAGGCGTACGGAAGGCTGAGATTTGAAATCTTTGGAGTAGACAAACTTTAACAGGAGGAATTGATTATATTAGAGTGGTCGGACATACTGGCCTTCATCAGAAGGTCAGGGAGATTCGTAAAGGAAATCTAGGTGAAGGAAGCATAGATATGTGGAGAGCACGGGTTAGCAAAAAAAGCCCATCGGGGCCAATTTGCTTGGCTGAAGCCTCCCCATCTACTACTACTACTACTACAACTACTAATGGAATATATATTTCCATACACTGTTGTAGAACTATGTGTTATACTGCTCCTTATTGAGGAGAAAAGCTGTACTACAAAAACCAACAAGCAAGTTGAAAAGAAGAGGAGTGATTTGAAAACAATACCCTGACCTAACCACAGTTCTTGAACACCACTTCACCACTTCAAAACCATTCCATTTATTCTCACAAAGTTCATCGATGTATTTATACTGCTCTTCATTCTCCTCATAAGTCCTCAACACGAGAACACATCGTACCTACTTCGAAATCGATACACTGATGACTTTTATAAGAATGTCTTATTATCCTCAAATAGAAGAACACTAGGTACTTTGAAGGCCATGATATTCTCAAGCATGCTACCTTAACAAGTCGAACCAAGACTCTTTTTTGCGTGATTTGAAACCAACACCCTTGATTTGCGAGAATATCATCAATTTGAAGGAATTATAGAAATAATCATCTGATGAAATTTATATGAATTTTGCCTGAATTGAAGTCCAGAGAAAAGAAGCAAAACTTCAAGCATGTTCTGTTAACATTAACCATCGTACGTAAGTGACACTTACTAACACTTCAAACCATTTATACGATATCCACATGGCACATTTTTCTTCACGGAACGACTTCTAGCTTTTTACATGAACCATAGCTCAAGAAGTCAGTTATGCACCTCTTCCGACAGTGGTTATTGTGAATGTACATTGTTCAAGGAAATAAGGAATATAATATTCAGCATTACTGGGACAGTTTTCGAATCTACTAGTTTTAGTGAGGAAAACAAATTCAAACATTTCAAGTGTCTTGGAAGTTTTTCATTTCAAATACCAAGCTAACACATATGTGACACGAAATCTCTGAGATGTCACGTTTAGGTCACAGTGCGATATCACTAACGTTCCATCGCTGCGATATACAGAAGTAAACACATCTGCGACATGACATCTTTGAGATGTCATGATGAGGCAACACTGCGATATCACGAATTTTCCATCGCTGCGATGTTCATAAGCAGAACACTTCTGCGACATGACATCTCTGAGATGTCGCGATGAGGCAACACTGCGATATTACGAATGTTCATCGCTGCGATGTACAGGAGCAAACCCATTTGCGACATGACATATCTGAGATGTCATGATGAGGCAACACTGCAATATCACCAATGTTCCATCGCTGCGATGTACAGAAGCAAACTCATCTGCGAGAATTTTTCAAAAATTTGTTATTTAGATTCTTGTTTGGTGTACAACAATAATACATGAATATACGTTACTCAAAAAGTGAAGCTGAATTCGTAAACATTCGTCACATTATTGCTATCAAACTATTGATTGTTGATACAAATACGAGTAACTGATCTCATTCTGATGAAAATTCGTAGGTACCAAGGATAGAAGTCAGTGGTGTACCCATTATCACATCTTGCTTGAAGAAACTTTTTTTTCGTTTCACTGCGATGTCGTCACGCATCACATCGTAGTTTTATCGCAAAAACATCGCTTCTCCAGCACATCTATTCGACATGGAATTCGATATCGCAGGTCACAATTGTTACATAACTGCAATATCTCTGTGTTGTTACTGTGTTTGCTGGGAAGTACCTATTCCCCACAAAAATGTTTGATTTTATGAATATTGCGAATGGAGAAGTGCAAATGCGTACAATTGCTGCAGTGCATAATAATATTTAAAAAATTATCAAGTTATTTATTGTCAAATGTTTTGAATATCCAATTATCTCGTGAATGTTGACCACTGGCGGAAAAGAGTTCTAACAGTCAGGCTCCTGTATGGATGCTGTGCGTGATAACAAGCGGTGTTGCCATGGCAACGTCGGCATAGGGGTGGGTGGGTAGCAGCTGGTTATACGCCAGCGGGCGAAACCGCCCCTTGAACATAGAGTTGAACGAGTGGTTTCACTGAATTATTTTTGGACATCGAGGTACATTCACCAATTGCTTTGATGGGTTTGATAGTTCATGTTTGATGAGGAAATGTTAAATTTCTGAAAGTTGAGAGACATTTGGCTACCAACAACATTTTTGGAATGTCGACAATATCATATTACTTCAACTGATGGACCGTTGATCTATTAATAAAAAGCTCGAGAAAAGTTGAGGTTTCTCTTTATTTTCATGTCACTTCTACTTATGTTTTTTCATTATTATGAAATATACTCCATCTATTCTTACCTGTTATGTTCTATCTATGAATCGAAGTTGATACGAATAATTCCGATTATTTCCGGAATCTAAATTTAGACTAGTGGAATGAAATACCGGAAACTGTTTCAATAATTCAATTGGTCGATGGCTGTTGAACAGGAGTCTCGAAAAGGGATACTGCATGTCGGAAATTATCGTCTTCATGCACTGTGGAAAAATGAAATTCCATGAATATTCAAATGTTCTTATCGAGCTTGGTTGATAAAGATCGATTGATTTTGCGAATGATTGAAATTATTACTCTAAATATTTTCATAATTCTCACGAAAATAAAGGAAATGTTGAATAATAGTTATTTGTTTTACTAGGCAGCAAAGTAGTAGAGTGACTGCGGCGGCTGATAGTTCATAGCCGAGCGTAGCCAGGCTAGGAATTCAGCCAAGGCAATCAATCTATATTTGCTGCCGTGTGAAACATATAATTTTTTCTCCAAATGTTATAATAGTTATTTGTTTTACTTGGCAGGAAAGTACAAGATTTAATGCCACGGCTGGCGTTACATTGGCGTAGCCGAGGCTAAGAAACCAGCCAAGGCATTACATCTTCTTTTCTGCCATGTGAAAAAACAATTTTGTGTATTTTTTTCATTGAAAACTCCATCATTTTGTGTTGACCCAATGTCAGTATCAGTTTCTATTACAAATTTCATTCAAATTGCTCGGAACGTTGCATAGCAACTAACTTTTTCTATCTAGGCAGAGAAAGTACACCTCTGCTGCCTGTTAAGTGTAAGAGAAAGGCCACTTTCTTGGAGAAAAAAGTACTTTTTCTATTTTGCTGCCTAGTAAAACTAATCACTAATACACGATAATATATAATCTTGAAAAATAAGATTATACCTATCTGAAATTTTGAACAAGTGAATAATTTTTTCATGAACCATGGATCTCATCATTCACAATCAAACACAGAAAGAGCTATTTATATGGCTCTGATAATAGTTATTGTGTTGGATTTTGAACTCGATTTTAAATGACAAGATCTTGATTTTGCCCGCATGTCAACATGACAAATTATTTTGTTGAACCAAACAAAATAGTTGATTGATACTGTGTATTTGATTTCGACGTTGGAAAAAATAAAATGACTAGATCCTTAATTAGATGTCCTTTTTTGAAATAATCCAAATACAAATACTTCGCAAACATTTTTGTGGCAATGTATACATTGGGCAGTCGTGCAGATTTCTGTACGCCAGACTCAAGGATCATCTAAATCTCCAACATTTCCCCAGTCATGCGATTTTTTCACGGTTCTTTTTTTCCAGCCAAAAAACAAAATGGGACAGCTTTCCGGACGAACAGCCTGGGCAGCGGGACGAGAAGTCCGCCTGCGGAAAGGAAAAGCAAATTTTCGATAGGGAAACTGCTGAGGCCTTGGAAATGGAAACGGAAAAGAAAATCGGATAAACTGGAAGCAGTTTCTAGAAGTGAGTTTTGACACCTATGACTCGCGACGAAAAACATTGAAATATTTTCATTTCCAGCTTTAGAAAGAAAAATTTCTGTCCGAGCCAATAGGGACGACCTGGTATTGAAAGGAATCCTTTTTCCAGAAAGTCCCCTATCGCCCCCCAAATCCGAGCCAGGTGAGCCTCTCATCAGTAGTGATTTTTTTGTCGCACAATAGTATATTACATAACAAGAGTTGTAAAACGCATATTACGCACGAAGTGGAGAGAGTTACACACGATGCCGCATAGCGGCGAGTGTGTAACTCCACAAGTGCGTAATTGCTTTACAACTCGAGTTTTGTACTATACTTTTTCTACGACTACACTATATTTCCATCCGGATAGTGCAGATATCGTATTAAGGCACGAATAACGAATACCAATATGAAACGTCTCCCGTCACTGAGCCAGCTGCATGAAAAGTTACAAATCACAAATCTTGTGTTTGTTCATTGATACATTGCATACCGAGATATTTTATCCAATGCGAAATGAAATGGAGCCATTTTTCATATCTAAACAGCTTTATTAATAGGTAGCAAAAAACACATTGTATAAAAATATAAAATTAACATTCATAATGGTTATTTATTTATAACAGTGCAGCACGAGAGATTCTGTAATCGTTATTAAAAACAAAAAAAAAGTGCTCCAACTGAGCTCTGAACCACGGACCTTTTGGTTCGGAGCCAGCGCTTCCAACAACTGAGCTACCACTATTTCTCCGTAATAGTAGATATTTTATTAACATAATTTCGAAGATTTATATTTTTTAATTATTCCTGTTATTCAATAGGAAAAGGAATTCATCAATTCAATGTTGAGTATGTATGTTATTTGAAAAATTACCTTTAACAGGAGCATTCTGCAGAAAATAATTGATCTGTTCAGCATTAAGTATTTTTGATTTTTTACTTCGGAATCCATCCTTCCCTTTTGAGGAAATGGGATATGTTGCTATATTAATATTGTGATTGATATTTAGTGTTGATCGAAACATAAAATATATCGACCAGTGATGATGATTTCATCGAATTTGATAATTCTTGAAAATATACTAAAAGGATTTTTCCGAAAATGACACGGTATTATTTCTAATTCTCCAGTCCAGGAATTTTTGATGTGCTATTTCGTTTCATTCACGAGACTTAGCGGGTAGCAACTCATTTTTTTTCCATTCTAGCTTTTTCCATCATTCCTGGTGGTGAAGACATAATCTGATGTTCATCATATTTTCAAAATATATAACTTTCCTGATGCTTTCGGTTTCGGTGGATAGCTGGATTGATTGATAAAAAGATAACTACCTACCCACCCAGCTAGTGACAATAATGAAATTGTTAATTGTTATTGACACATCGCCTAAGCAACAAAACAAAGTCATCTATCAACATACCTATGAAAACCGTGCGATCGCTCTCTTTACGCACACGTGTGTAAGGAGAAGCTTACTGCCATTGTTTTGTGTACAATATCCATCACTTACAGTAGTAGTCGTAGGAAAAAACAATTTTGTTTCCTCAATTTCCTCAAGTTCTTTCGCGATTTAATAGATCTTAAATCTACAACAAGAATTCGTCTAGATTCGGAATGTTCTTGGTCTATTTCACATTAGAGACTATATTGTTTTTGATAATAAATTGAACAATTTTTTAAATCTGTCGGAAGAAGCAGTAACGTGATTACGACAAAAATTTCATGACATGAAAATTTCAAATTCATCATAAAAAATATACTTCACTAGGGTAGCTTGTATTGTGAATTGTTTTGTAAAAATGTGACATCACATTTTTTTGTGAAACGGTTGGAAGTAAGACAAATTTGTTTCCTGTTAATGAAATATAAACTCTGTATATTGAAAGAGTCAATATCACCCAATTTGACACAAATTGATATCTTGCTTTCTCTCTTGTGATTTCCATACATATTTATTCTGCAAATACTTTCAATTTCATCCTTATTTCATTTATATTCCCTGTTGTATTCAAAATGGAAATTGTGTTCAGTGGAAAACTCGATGTTAACAAGCATCGCCATCTTATGAGCTGATTCCAAACTTCAGCAGCGTTTGCTGAAAAGGCCTCTTCACTGTTCACTGTGCTGTGGAAAATCTTTGATTTCCTCTCCTAGTTTGGGAAGTGCACCACCAGATGGTGTAATTTTGAATCATTGATTTTTTTATCGTGAAGTTTATTATATTTCCATTGAAATTTGATATTGATCAAGGGTGTCATTCAGTGTCGGGTTCTAGTCGTTTCCTTCCTAGTTTTATGCGATATTCAATGTTAATGTTTGGAATCGATTATGAATATATTTCAACATTGTATACCTATACAGGGTGTCCCGAAATCAGCCTGTCATCATACTCCTATAGCAGATTCTTCGACCAAAAAAGGAAGAAAAGTTACAATAAACATAAGTCGAGAAATGGCTCTTACGGGAGATACGCCCTCCCTAGAGGGGTCACCTGAAGATGATATTTCCTGACTATTTACGAAACTCCATGTGATAAAATGATTCAATCCGGTACAAGAATTCAACTTTCTGTACCCAATGCAGTGAAGATTATATTAACCAAATTTCATTCAGGAGTGTTCAATACAGGGTTGGACTACATTAAATATTGCTCAAACTTTTTTGTATGCATATTTTTTAGCAATTTAATCTCGGATTATGAAAATCCACACCGTTTCATAGAAAAAATGTGCTCTTCTTTGATCGATCAGATGTATATTTTCCAGTGGAACCGATTTAAACATATTGTTACATATGCATAACGTTGCAAATGTTGAAATCTTATACCCGAAATTCCCTTATCATATTTCAACAGCAGGTTCTTCGATCAAAAATAAAAAAGAAAAATCAAATAAACTTGGATCGAAAAATGCTTCATAAGGGAGCTACAGCCGCTCAAAGGCAAGTCCCTGAAGATTGTTTTCATTCAATATCTCCGGAACCAGTTGAAGCAAAATGATGAAATTTTGCACATACTAGGTACTCAGAAAATTGTACCCGTAAGTGGGGTTAGTTGGGAAGAGGTAGGGTGCAAACTACCACACATTTTTTGTGAATGTTTTTTTCCGAGATTTCATGCAAAATTATAGAATTTCAGGGTGTTTTACAGAAAAAAGATGCTCTTAAATAAAGTCCACAGCATGTACCGTTTCCGAGTGAAACCATCTTCAGGGACTGTAGTTCCCTTATGAAGCATTTTTTGACTCAAGTTTATAGAAACTTTTTTTTATTATTTTTGATCGAAGAATCTGCTCTTGAAGTATGGCAGGCTAATTTCGGGTATATTATATGAAAATTGGCAACGTTATGCATAAGATGTAGGTGCAGCAATATTTTTAAATCGATTCCACTCGAAAATGATACATCTGATCGGTATGTAAAACGGTGTGGATTCTGTAGAAAAATATGCATACAAAAAACTTTGAGCAATATTTAATATAGTCCCACCCTGTAATAAACACTCCTGAATGCAATGGTGAAATGATATAATTTTTTACTGCATTGGGCATAGAAAGTTTAGTTCTTGTACCGTATTGCATCATTTTATCACATGGCGTTTCGGAAATATCATCTTCAGGAGCCCCCTTTGAGGAGGCCGTAGCTCCCTTAGGAGCGATTTCTCGAATTATGTTCATTGGAACTTTTCTTCCTATTTTTGGTCGAAGAACCTGCTACTGATGTATGGCAGGCTAATTTCGGGACATCCTGTATATGATAGCATAATAATTGTTTCAGAGGAATTGACTAGTGTATTTGAATTTTTTTTGATGCTGAATTTCCAGAAAGCACTCCCTTCCTTCAGAAGTTTTTGTTGGCACATATTTTTCACTCATATCAGAGATTACTTATATTATGCTTCCAGACCTTCAATAGAAATTGATTCCTCCAACGCGATTCAATATTAAGGATCATTTCGAAATTGAATAACAGTATTGTATGAGAGCACATTTACATTGCCACTTTTTCCTGCTGTACGATGACATTTTCAGATTCACCATGCTTTTATTATTAAATCCATTATGACGCCCATAAAAAAAAAGTTGTTGGTGATGGCGTGAAGACAAAACGTTGGATAGTGAATCTGAAAATGTCATTGTATAGCAGTCAAAAAGTGACAATGTAAATGTGCTCTCAATTCTGATATTTTCGATCAAAAAAGCCCAGAAAAAATGGAAATAATTTACCAACATATCAGTATTTTTTCGTATATCTCCGGAAATACTCGGCATATTTTCAGTCGTATAAATGCGCAACTTTGTCCTAATTTAACCGTCTTCGTATCTCCTATAAAAAATAGTTTCCGAGATTCCAATGGTGGCCCTCGAATTTGAATAACCCAGTACATGGCGTTTGAGAAAAAAAATCAGTATTTACTTCTGCCTTTTGAGTTATCGAAAGTGCCTTTTTGTTCCATGGGTTTATAATCTACTATTATTATTGTGGCCAGAACGGTTATTCAATAGTGTTTTCCTTTCCAATTCAAATTTCACATCCATGGCATCATGGCAATGTCGGGAATGCGATGTTTTCTAAATTTTGAATTACCTTCTTATTAGTGCTTGACGTGGCGCAGTCGTATGATTTGATTGAATTATTCGAGATGTACGCGTCAATACCAGATAACAAAGAGTGATTGCAACTGATGATCGAAACGTTTTCATTTTTGGTGATTGGCAGGAATCTCATTTAACCGTTCTAAATATAACATCGAGTTGCCTCGTTTTCAACAGCGTTATATCCACTGTGCGATCCAATTTCGTTTTGTGTCTAGTATTTCAATTATTCTTCCATGTCAATGAGTGGAAAATATCAACGTTTTTCATTCAGAAATCCTTTTGTGCACCGTTTCATCAATACCTTTCGTTTGTGAAGGGTAAGTACCTAGCTATACCATAAATGCTTTTAAAATGAATGTGAGCACGAAGTTGAAAGGATTGATGATATTCTCTATCTGGAATTATCAGATTTAGTCTAATGATAATATACTTTCGAACAATAATCGGAATTGTTGAGAATAAAATAGACTCTAAACCTTTCATTTGATACCCCACATGATATACTTTCGAAAGATAATCAAAAATGTTGAAAACAAAAAACGAGAATCATTGAATCAATGATATTTCCTATTTGGAACGATTCAATGTTCTCTAATGAAGTTAAAACCTTTCATTTGGTACGCCACATGTCATACTTCCGACCAGTCATTCAAAATATTTCGTACAAGAGAGAGAATCATTGAACCAATGATAATCTGTATCTGGAACTATAAGAATTCGCCTAGTTCAAAACTTTCCATTTGATACACTACACGAAACGGTTTCATGAGGTAATTGAGAAAGTGAAAAACTAAAAATACATTGTGTCCCACTTTGAACAGCACCACCTAGTATTTTCTTGTCCGTTGGCCGATTTCAGATTTTTTCGGCTGATTTATATGCTCAATGCGATCTCATTGTTAGTTATGTCATGATTTTCCAGTTAGAAACTAATATCATCACGAGTATCATCAGCATGTTGAGAAATTTCCGGAATACTTTTGTTTCAATTTTCACAAGGGTGAATCTCCTCTTAAAATGTGTACACCAGGCTTCCAGTGTTTATCGAATCCATCCAATACTTTCAATGAACACCTGTCTGAGATTTCCAGGTCTTCCAAAGACTTTCGATGATTTTCAATGACCATCAATGACTTCCAGTGACTTTCAATGACTATCAGTGACTACCAAAGGTTTCCATTAATTATTGCTAAATACTTCCAGTGCCTGGGAAATACTGCCAGTGACCATATACGTATTAATAAACAATACGGATCATAACGGGTGCCAGGATGAAGCCAAAAATATGAAACAAATGAATATCCATAAGGATTTAGTGGCATGATACGCATGCGCCATGCGCTATTATAGTAGTCATCAAAGACATGCGTTTCGGTGGACAATGACTTCAATCAAAGCAGTATGTGTCTGATCGTTTCAAAACTTTTCCTTATGGATAGTCATTTGTCTTCAAAAATCGGCTTCATGTTTCGCTATGGAAACAGATAGAGATTATCCGTATTGATTATTAATACGTATATGCCAGTGACTACTAAAGATATCCAGTCACATGCAGGGACTCCTAGTGACTTTTAGTTACTATCAAAGGCTTCCAGTAATTTTACTACTACCTAAAACTTCCAGTGACTATCTAAGACTATGATTAATTTTCAGTGACTGCCAAATGATTACGAATGACTTCCAATGATTACGAATGACTTCCAATGATTACCAATGACTTCCACTGACTTTTAATTGAATGAAGTGAACACCAGACTTCCAAGAAGATTTTACCCTTACCCCTCGGATATCGTATGCAAGGCGATTTTTATTAGGAAATGTATATTTTCCGTGTCTATTTTCCGTGAACAGATACAGGGTGATCAGAATTCTGAATCTTGAAGCACCCTGTATTTTTTCCAATTAAATTCCAGTAGATAGTGAGTCAAAAGTTAAGATAGGGACATGTAAGCCGTTTTGATCGATATTGAATAGTTTCGACACAAAAAAATCCTAAAATTGAAAAATTTCGATTTTGAACACCCTATATCTCTGTGATCATTCCTGCTAGACCCCAAGTGTGATGCATTGATGAAATCAGCTCTTCAGGAAAAATCTGAAAATGCAATAAAATACAGGGTGTTCCATTTGAAATAACAAAGTTGCTAGTTGTTTCTGATAGAAGTGGCAACAGTGTATCGATGAAAATATTTTAGACGTATAGAGAATGTTCAATTATCAAAGCATCCCAATTTTCAGAATGTTCTGTCTTTTCGTCGTCGAGATACTTCTAATAGGCCATCCACCGTGGGTCACCCTGTAACTGTTTTCTCTCTTTTCAAGGTGAAACTGTTCCATCCCCCTACCCCCTCAACGGCGCCCAGCTCGCCCCCATTGCCGCCAACAATGCTTCGGGCAACGGGGGCCGTCATTCCCCCACCCCGCAGCTGGGCGGCCATCAGCAGCAAATGCAGCAGATGCAGCAGCAACAGCAGATGCAGCCGCAGCAGTTGCAGCTGCAGCCGCAGCAGTTGCAGCTGCAGCCGCCGCCCTATCCGGGAACGGGGAGCATGCCGCCGCCCCACCTGCCGCCCATGAGCCACGCGCTGCTGCAGCAACAGCTGCTGCAGAACCCGCATTTCGCACAAGCCAATGCCAATAATAATAATGGTAGTTTTAACGGTGAGTACGACATTTTGTGATTGTTTTCCTACTGATTTCCTCGGTCTTTTTGTTCCTACGAGCTGTCCGGCCCGGTTTCGTACGGTTGGTGTACATTTGAAAAAGAAAGAAATCTACTACTTTGCTGCCTAGTTAAACAAATAACTATTCCCGCACTAGTGTGGGAAAACTTTTCTCGCACTACTGCGGGAAAATGACACTTCCCAAGCTAAATTGCGTGCGGGTATAGGGTAAATCACACACGCTTGTAAAAGAATTTTTCAAATCGGTCCTGTAGTTTCAGAACCTATTCAATACAAACAAACAAACAATCAAATCTTTGAATACTGTCTTTATGTTAATCTAGGACGTGTTACATTCATTTTACTTCTTTATTTGTGATTTTTCCTCCTCTTTTCTACAAAATAAAAATATGAGTATTATTTCAATATATGTGTAGAAGGACAAATCAGATAATTTGCTCCAAAGTGTCACTGCGTTCAACAAACAGTAAATAGAATATTATACCTCTGACACTGCTCCTACTTAAGCCATGAATTGAAAAACTGATCTTTCTCCACCATAACCTCTAATTTTATCATTTTTCATACCTATAGATTTTGTCTTGGCATCTTATATCCATCTAATATTTGTGTCGGTGTTTTTTCTTCACCTCCCAAATTTTATATCATATTAGGAAACAAAATGACTGAATCTCCATAAATACTACATGTATAATGGCTATATGTACACCAACTTACAACTCTTCACTTTATCAAATAATAACATATTATTCGAAGATCCTGTGAATCGATTAACCAGCGTACATTCGCTGGATTAACCAAAGTGTTTTAAGTTAATTGAAAATATTCTCCTTTGAGTGAGTATATGGAATTAATTATAATTTATAATAAGTAGTTCATTTTATTAATAGCATCGTTAATAGCATAAACAGGTGGTTTTTCATTGAAACCGTGATGGCGCCTTTAATTGATAACCACTAATTAACTTTTGCTTGCATCAATTAATTCAGCCATGTTCAGGTTAGGACCAGGAGTGTTTTGGCATTCTGGCATATTAAATTTATCACTATCATGATTAAATTTGTAGATTCGTTAACCTTTGATCTCCTTCTGTATTCTCAGGAATATAAATATTAAAATGAAGTAAAAGTAGGTACAGTCGTATTCAAAAAGAAGCGTACAAGTATATTGCAGGGAGAAATTAAAGTTATCATATTTGCGTAAAACGAGCTATCGGGAATGAATGTCTACCAAATGTTGACAGTAGAGTAATCATAGGTTCCCAAAAACACAAAGCATTGGCTGAGCCATTCTTACACAGCGAGAACTAGAATGTCGAAATCTTCTATGTTTAATACTTGTACGCTTTTTTATTGAATACGACTGTACACAATCTGATAACAATATGTTTGTGTTGAGTTTCAGTTGATACGATATTCATATCTTCTATTTTGCTTGTATGAAATACTAGAAGAAGAACCAAGATTAGATATGTATTGCAGACAGCTGTTTCATTACTAATTGTCATTTGGCGCCGCTATTGTCGATACCTATTACCAACCTTGAGTTATGCAACCCAAAAGGCCGGTTGCCGGAAATTTTATCCATCGACTTCATTTGATCGAAAATCAATTGATCTAAAAATCAAATGATCTAATGATCAAATGATCGAAGATCAATTTATCGAAATATCAATTGATCGAAATACATTTTGATCGAATATCCATCAATATCAATTCCACATAATATTCAAACTACTTACCGATTCGTCTCAAACCCTTTGTATGGATTCCAGGAATTCATTGATATGAAGTATTTTATTGTGAGAAGCTGCGGAGACTATAACCTCAAATATAACTATAGTGAGTGTAGTGATCAACATAATAGGTATGTTAGAATTTATGTCACATTCAGTTACAATAACAAGACATCGTTCAGACGAGGTTGCGGTTTCGAAAAATGTCTTTAATAATTAGTTTAAGTAGAAAAAAATTATATGAAATCGATATTATTATGTGCAAACAGCGTACATTTGGTACCCCGCTTGCCTTTATAATAGCAGAGATAGGTCAGGTATTCCCTATTCATTTAGGCCGAGTTCGGTTAGGTTGTTTAGAAACAGTAGCCTCTTCTGTTCTCTCAAGTAATTTTCCTAAAAATATACTTTCTAGGACGAAGGTTCATTTAGGCCGAGTTAAGTTAGATTGTTCGGGAAAAGTAGTCTCCTTTTTTTATACTAATGCTTAATTATGCTTATTTTCCTTCCTCAACCGTCCGGAAATACGTGAAATGACTATGCATTTCAGGGAATGACGGATTTCATCAAATGTTTCTTTTATGTTATGAGTTCGATTAAAATTTAATTCGATCATTTAATATTTCGAACAAATGATATTTCGATCAAATAGTTTTCGATCATATTTCCGGCAACCCAGATGGCCGACGAGCAGTGGGAACGACTCCTTGTTATATTTCCAATTATTCGAAATACTCGATACAAATTATTGCACAGACAGTTTAAGCAACGTGTCAAAATCAGGTTTATAGTAGGATGTTTTCAACAGTTACTTCAAAAGATCATTTTATTGTAGAAGTACAGGGTGATTCACTATAAATGTACCCCCCTCTAGCTCGGTTATTTTTGAACCGAGTGAACAATTTCCGCTACATCAGAAAATACAGGGTGCTCGGAACCAACGATCTACAGGGTACTAGTTGATTTTTTCAAATGGAACACCCTGTATTTCATTGCATTTCTAGATTCTCCCAGAAGATTTGATCTCATTAATTTATCACACTCGGAGTCTAGCGTGAATGATTACAGAGATATAAGGTGTTCAAAATCGAGATTTTTCCACCCAAGGATTTTTTTCTGTCAAAACTATTCATTGAACCACCCTGTAGTGTTCCGATTGAATGTCAATAGATAGTAAACAAAAAGTTGTGATAGGGACACATGAGTCGTTTTGACCAATAACGAATAGTTTGGACACAGTTGAAAAATCTCGATTTTGAACACCATATACCTCCGTAAGTTGATCGTTTGTTCCGAGAACCCTGTATTTTTTTATGTTCTGGTTCCCACGAAAAGGGATATCCTGTAATGTTCAGAAAAAAACTTTATCGAAAATTATTTCAAATGATTCCTCAAATTTTGCGATTGATTGAAAAATAACTGAGTTAGATGGGGGGACCTTTATGGTGAATCACCCTGTACCTCCATCATCGATGGACTTGTTTTCAAAAGAATGATCCAATGTGGATCAAAGAATTATTCTACTTAATTCAAAATTGGAAATATCTAGAGGAAATACTTGTTGTCTCAAGAGCCAATGAATATGTAGTATTTTTCAGCTGATTTTGAATATAGAACATTCCCAAACTTCATGAAAAATAACCAAAGAGAGTTTAATTTTACAGAATAAAAAACACGACAAAAAACAAAAAACCCAGTTTTGATTCAAAATTTTGATGTAAATGCAATGATACCATAATTTTGTAATTATGTCAATACCATAATCGACTAAATCTTGTGAGTACGGAGTCATACAGGGTGGACCTAAAGAAACGTTATGCTCAATTCTTTTATGTATAATACGAATTTTGTATTTGAGTTGGGAAAGGGGGATCATGTAGATCATGTAGAACAAGTAGATCGTGTTCGTGTACTTTTGAATAATTCCATGCGGATGTTTATTCATTAGTACGGTTGTGCTCTGTTTGATTCGTATAGATAGACAAAAGTAGACAAACAGAACATTATCTCCTGACAACCTTGGACCAGATTTTGTAATTTATGATCAACACAATACATTTATCGCACCCAAATTCACGATTGTAAACATATAAAACAAAATATTGGAAGCAACATATCAAAATCATTTTTATCACAGATGATCATGGATTTTGAGATGGATATCAGAGCTTTTTGTGTTATAATTTTTTTCTCATGGCCATTTCTGACCAAGATAATAAGAACTTGAAGCAGACATTTCATCTCCCAGAATGCATGAAAAGAAGTTCAGTATTAAATTTAAATCGGAGCTAAAGAAAATCCTACACCACCGTGTTTTTACGACACCACAGAATTCTACAATAAAAATTTCCTCTCTAATTCATAATGTTCTTTTAGGTCGATTTACTTGTATCAAATTCACTATCAATATATTCAATTATAATGAAATAGACGGCAACCATTTCCCCAAGCGCCTATATGGCATCTGATAATAATTTTGTTGATATTATATTAAGACAACTTATTGTATTGAAAATTGTAAATTAGTTATCTTGAGAAATGAATATCTATCTATCTGTCTATCATATAGACTTATTCCTCAATCTCCAAATGATTATGTATTCTAGTTCGGCGCATAATCGGCAATCCATTTATTTTTCACGTTCTGCCCCTCGAAGTTTTTTTTTTCTTATTTCTCTCTGGTATTTCGACCATATTATTTCTTCTGCGAACGTTAGTCACCCTTAGAATGGTTCACTGGGCACGTTCAGAAAATATTCCACCTCCGTTCAATCCATCACCGAAAACCATCAGTCAATTCCAACATTTCTCGCCTCCCATCCATCTCTTTCTTAGAATATAAAGGAGCTGTAGTATAAAATACAAAGATTCATTTCTAGTCAACTTTATAAAAATATTAGTACCTAAAGTTAATTTAAGAATAAATAACAAGAATTTTTTTTATACAAATCATCTAGATTGTTCTCCTATGAATGAAATGCTACGACAAGGTAATATACAGGGTGTAAATTTGAAAACTTTCAATGTGAATATCTCGCAAAATAAAAAAGTTAGAAAAACGCCGCTTGGCAAAAATGCTAAAGAGTTAAGGGGAATTAGAACCACCATATTTCAGTGAAGGGATGAGTCACCCTGTCAGCGCAACACACCCCAACTTTGAAATGTCAAATGGCACAACCTCTTTTGTGATACCTCAAATGAACGGTCTCAGTCAGTAGTATTCACCTGTACAAGGATTTTTTTCCACCCACTACAGGGTGAACGGAAAACATAAAGTCGAATAAAATAAAATGCAGAATGCCGATATATTCCAAGAGATGTGTCCCAAAATGTTAGAATGGCATTTGAACATCGATTATACTATTGCCTACAACAGAATGGAATGCATTTTGAACATCTGATCAAATAAAATATCCTTTTAACACAATTCATTTTATTTTATTATACTTTATATTTTTCGTACACCCTGTAGTGGGTGGAAAAAAAGTCTTGTACAGGTGAATACTACTGACTGAGACTTTTCATTTGAGGCTTCACAAAAAAGGTAGTGCCATTTGACATTTCAAAGTTGGGGTGTGTCGCGCCGACGGGGTGACTCATCCCTTGACCGAAATATGGTGGTTCTAGTTCCCCTTAACTCTTTAGCATTTTTGCCAAACGGCGTTTTTCTAACTTTTTTCTTTCGCGAGATATTCGCATTGGAAGTTTTCAAATTTACACCCTGTATACTTGCAGAAAGGTGCAATATTGACTTTCCCAACTGTAATTCAAAAGAAATAAAATCAGCAGTATTCAATATTGAATGTATTTTATAGTATCTCTGCGTTTTCTAATTTAGCTCTAAGTCTGTGTTTTGAAGCACTATCTTTTATATGTAAATACTCCTGGCTGTCTTTGTGAGAGAGAAATCTTAAAGGAATAAATAAAAAAATAAATAATATAACAAAATACAGAAGACATATTTCCAAGCTGAGCTGTCTTTTCTATCAGCGAGTTGAGAAATAAGTAGGCAAAGTCAAGGTGAGAATAGTTCAGTAGATTAGTGGTATTAGTTGTTCATTTCTCCATATAACGATACTAAACTATATACAGTGTGTCGAAGACTCGGTCCAAGATAAGGCTGCACAGCATGGGGATCCCGGAAACGGAAGGGGGAACGAATTCGTTTCAATGAGAAAAAACTGAAAAAACTTACGCACTCAGAGGGTCAAAATTTACAGAATTATCATAGTTTTTCAGTTATATTGGAAAAACTGGATTTTGGGAGAATCTATTAATTTTTCATGTATTGCACGAGAGTTTTATTTGTAAGAGTTTTATTTGTTGAAGTAAACATTTCAATGAGAATTTTCTTGCCTGAATGAAACGACAATTGCCTCCGAGATTGCCTCCGTCTGTAGGACGAGTAATATTTTCTGGCAGTTTTTGAGTTAAATTTCCTGCAACAAAACTCGAAATATACATGTCAAGTTTATTTCGAACCCAAAAATAAGTGCTTTGCTTGATGTTTTTCTCTCCACTCGAAGACTCCAAATCACGTCATTTTCATAGATTAGATAATTTTCCTCGTAATTTTCTGACAGAGCAAGTTTGAGAGTTATCGACATTAGCATATTCGAAGAAGAAAGTTAGAGCAAACTTTTTTTCTACTGCTATAAGACAAAATGGCTCTTGTTTCACTGTTTTCGATAAATCAATGAGGTACATTGTATGTCCTACGGCTGATGCTCGTTGGAAATTACTATCATTCCGTGCTCGTTAAAATAATGACAAAACAACAGCAGCTTATGGGATTTTTATACATAAGTTAAGTTGTCTACGGTATTATTGGAGATACATAAGAACTAAGAATTATTTTCCATAGTTACTTTTGATGAGATTTATTTAACGTGGTGAATTATTTTTTTTAAACGGTCCTGATTTTCTGATCACAGATTGGAAGGATATGTATAACATACAGAAATGGTTCCAACCCCCTAAGAAGAATATATCTAGAACATAGTGGGTTTTACCATGTATTACGTTGCAATGTTAATGTTTGTATGTATAATTTTCAAGTGCAACCTTGATCTCCTGTCGGCCATCTTCGAAACCAATGCACCCCGGAACAAAAATGAATGCTACCGCCTCCCTCTTTATATTCCGAGATTTCTCTCGAGTCGAGCTTCCTCCTACAGCCGATAGGAGGCGACGCGATCGCCGCCTCCCTTTGCGGTGTTGCCAATCCAATTATTTTACGGCTACTTTAAGCCATTTCGTAACCCCTCTATAGTTATTCAAAGAATATCCCTCATTCTTTATTCCTGAGGATGAAGGATTCATAAAACGGATGAAATCATTTTAAAAAATGAGATATTTGAAATTATGTCATTCAATTTTTCACTGAAGCAGGCCGATCATGAGGTTGGAGATATGTCTTGAAGAATAAACGAAACAGTAAGCTCAAGTCCTCAAAAAGGGAAGATTTCTATAAAATGGCTAGATTTTATACAAAATGACAGAAACATTTTGAAACTCCATTTTGCTGAACTAAAAATTTTGATAAACTACAGGGTGGCATTGAAATATGTGCAAATATGTCAAACACTGAGAAAGCTCGACGTGTACTATCGAATGACACTAATAAAAAAAAATTAAGGACCAAAATGAAATTTGAGATTAGACCCCTTTTTTCACCCAAAGTTCTATACTGTAGCAAATCTGACGTCACCTCTGTTAAAATTTCAATGCGGTAGGCACAATCAGGCGGAGTTCAATCATTTAAATTGTTTCTAAGTGGCGTCCTTTATTTTTTCTCGTATTTTCATCAATTTTTGGGATGAAATTTCTCGTTAATTAGAAGAATTAGAAAAACATCTGATATCATAGGAATATTCCTTAGACTGTACCATATTAATGTGCTGAATATGTGCACTTATTTCCAAAAACACCTTGTATATGGACCTCACTCTTCCACATTTATTCACAATTGACCACTAGGTTGGGCTGTAAGAAAGGATGAAACAATGAATCCATGGGTATTGAGCTCAAAGAAGAAGCCATTTCCAAATCTGAAGATGAATCTGGAATAGCTACGGGTCTGGTACCAAGTATTTCGAAATTTCCAAGTATTTTTCAGATGAAGATTTATATCATAGATAAATGTGTTTAGTTCAATCTGGATTGAAGCTACGAAAGACAAGATATCGTTATCATGTCCGATAGTCAAGCATCCATTAAAGCTCTGATCTCTATGGTCATCAGCTTAAAAATGGTTTGGGAATACCTAGGAGCACACATAATAGAGGAGAAACCACCTCATAAACTGAAATTTCTAAGGGATATAGGACTAGGAAAATTGCTGTACTCATCGGGTAAAGCAAAGAAGGGGCACAATAGATATTTCACAACTTGTCTTGCTAGGAAAATTGTGGTCTTCGGAAGATTCCTGGGGCTTTGTTTTGGCCAGCTACTCTTAGGAAATCTAGCAATTTTCGCCCCCTTCACGTTGGCAACACTGCTTCCTGCCGCCTCCGAGACAGTCTCGCATCGGTCCTCGCTCGATTCACCGTTGTTTTCGCCAGTCTTTTGTCGTTTGTCATCGCATAAACATACGCAAACCATCCACCTGTCGATATACGAGCAAGGCCTCCTGTGTCATCGGGACGATGCCTGAGGAGGGTGCGGGGTGGGTGGTCGAAACGTAGTAGATCGAGGGGGTGACCTTCCTCCCCCACCTCCCCCTATGGGGGTCGGTGTCGAGATGGTCCCGTGACGATTGACGGGCAGGCCCGTCTGCCTTCTGTCATCCATGATGGGCTACATTATGGGCTGTACTTGCTTCAAAGGTGATTATTTTTTTTTGTGGAAAGTGTATTTTTTGTCTGATGATGTCTTTGGTTTTTCGTCACCGGTAGTTGTCGAATTGTCACTGATAATACCACTAGTGCATGTGTGGAAAATTTTTCAAGGTCACAGCTCATGCATATTTTGGAAACTAGGGTTGCTAATTCATATTAGTCAGGATTATTTTACATATCATCTGTTGTAATTTAGATTCCGATTGAAATTACCCAAGTACGTCTTCATTTTAATAACAACTTTGATATATTTCTGAATCAGTAAGTAAACTCATTCCTTGATAACAAATGAAAAACTGTTTTCACTGATATGAATCAAAATCGACAAGAAAAACAACAGTCAGAAACACGGCATGTATATTATAACCTCTGATGGAGAGAAAAAAATCAGAAGTTTCAATAAAAATTGCAGTTATCAAAAAGTAAATAATGATTATATGGAATAACTAATTTCAAATCAATGCTGGTACTAGGTATATTAATTTCTAATATCGGGAACACTTGATTTCCATTGAATATAGAAAACGAGCTAATTTCCAAAGTCTGGTAGGTTTTTAAATGCATGGTAGAAACCGAGGTAGAAACCAATGTCAAAATTATCTAAAAATTCATTATTCAAATCGTCCTACATTCATTAGACTGGTGTATTGTTTTGAATGTGATGATCACTATATAGGGTGATTCAAGGGGAGTTTCTATGCTCCTAAGTTAGTAGAGTTCGTTGTCAAGGTCGTCAAGGACCTACAATCTACAGGGCGTTGTATAGTGCAGTCGGTTGACACAGTTTTCCACGATATCTCAGTATGTTCCTCCGACTTGAATTTGAACCATATATTTTTTGACCCTTCTAAATCTTTGAATCAATCATTTCTGGACGCAAGTTGACAATTAATTGTTTGTAATTGGTGCTGCGCGATGAATTTCAATGCTAATGCTTCAATTCCGTTCAAAATAGATTCTCGCACGTTATCACATGAGGAAATATCTTTGAAATCGATATTATGATGTCACGTACAATTTTCCTAGAAAAACTGTTCTTGAAACAATTTTCATCAAGTTGAGTACAAAGTGGAATATATAGAATAGTAACAAACTGGTAATCTGTCAAGTAAAGTCCTTGAATCCGATTTGTTATGTAACGGTCGCAAACAAAATTGCATTCAAATTTCCTGTGTTACGTTACCTTCACGGTAAATTATCTTTCAAATCAAATTTCCTGTTTATGTTTGAGTTTCCGAAAATATGCCGTGAGTATGATTATTTTTTAATAATATTTCTACTACATATAGGTATACACAGTGTGTACGTTTTTAACCAGCCCATAATATAGTACTCAACGAGCTCTCAGCTGAAATGTGGTTGCTTTTTGTTTGATCTAGAGACATCTTCCTGTAGAAACTTGTATTCTTCCATTGAATGATCACTCCACCGATTATATCAACTCCTTAGATTTGATACAGGGTGAATGGTAAAAGCAAAAATATTAAAATTTAACATTGAATAATTAGTATCATGTGTACATATATGGGACATTGCAGTAAAATTGTGTATGGGGTTACTGCAGCTATGCTTGAATAGGCTATACATTCATTATCAAAATAGAAAAATGTCATTCATTATCAAAATAGTACTATATTATGGACTTTTAGTTTTGGAATATCGATCTCGATATCGATTCCCGAGTTCCAAATTTGGAGGGTGTTACGAGTTGAAATCTGAGGTTGATATCGCACACACTGTATATAAATTAAAAGGAGTACTCTGAATGAGTATATATTTTTCAATTCTGGATACATATTCTTGAATTGAGTATATTGCTCTTCTCGAATAAGAATTACCAGTACCAGTTTTATACAGGGCGACCAAGAAAATGCTTCTGATATTTTTTGCTTCAAACACCCTGAATTTCGAAAACATGAGAATAACGTGGTGCCTTCTGAAATATCCCATAATTTCCATATGATACAAGAGGTGAATATCAAAAAGTCAATCCTCGAAAAAAACTCATAAGTACTTTGGAATTCGATAAATTCGAATGAAAACTGTGTCTCAACATATTTGACATATTTTCCATTTCATGACTACCTAACTCGAAATATTTAGGTGTAACGGATATATTGTTGATGGAGAATTAATGAGTAATTGTACGTGCTTTGAAGATATAATGAGTAGGTATGATGATTTTTTTTGTAATGGTCATGCATCCACGTGCTCGATATTGAATTCCATTCCTCGATATTTATTAATAGAAATAATTTCCGATTGAAATGTTCGTTTCTTGTTTAGGTTTCCTAGATAACCTAATTGACCGTATAGTGGAAGTCATTTGTTTTGGAGGTATGTTTTTGTTTTATTATTTTTTTATCAGTGTGATTAATCCTCATGGAATGCGGTCAGGTACTTTGGTGTTCTAATTCTTTGTTTGTAAATACTTTGTTCTCCATATTTTGATAGTACCATTTCATTTTCCTTGGTAACTTGTGTCGATAACCTTGAATTGCACCGACTGCTTGACTCAATGCACTTTGGATCAACTTTTTTTTATCTCTTGGAGTGCGCTAAAGGAAATTCCTATAATGTTCCTATATACCCATTACAAGTATCTTCCGAAACTGGCTAATAATAATCATCATAAACTTGTCAGATACCTACGTAACAAATTGAAAAATAGGAATTAATTCAATATAAACGAAACGAAATAATAGTAGAAAAAATTGTCACTGTGGTTTTGTTGTTTTCCAGCTTTTGTCTGATTAGTTTTCGTTGTTTTAGTAACTCTGTATTGTAAATGTAAAGCAGACTGCTTTATGAATAAATATTGTGATATTAATTAATTAATTTCTAACTGTTATACATCGATATAGATCATTCAGTACTCTGTGTGAGGTTCACAGTATCCTCGTTGATTATACATGGTGGTCAATCGTAACAGTTTACATTTTTTGATATTCGCCAATTGCCATAGTTTAGTAAACACTAGCTTTTACCCGCTGCTTCGCTAAATCAAAGATCATTACATTCCAATAGAACTGAATGAATGCGATTCAGTATTTAAAAATAACTTCATACAATGAAGTTTCAAAAACTGGAAACATGCTTTATTGAAATAAATTATTAAGTTGAAATGTATTTCATTACAACAACATGCTTCCGCATGGATTATTTGTTGCGCCCTGTCTCTAGATGTACCAATTCGAGTAATATTGAATTCGTGCATTTTGGTTGCTCAGAAGACTAAAACATCAATGTCATTCGTGGTCAAGTTACTGAATCCCAATAGACGTATTCTAATAGTTAATATCTAAGCTCGTATCTAAGGTACCGACGTATAGAGTTTAATGGATGTGTCCAACAATCATGTCAGCCAACATTTTTTTTCCTAATAAACTAAGAATATGATGTATTCAAAGTTTCACGATAATCGGTTTAGTAGTTTTCGCGAGAAAGTTGATGTTCGATGACCTTACAATTCTTACAAAAAAACTTACATTCACATTCATAATATTAGTTCAGATTCTGATTTTCTCACGCTTCAATCCACCCTGTAGATTCAGGTATAGTATATATACTACTTAATTCGTCTCTCATTGAACGTCCAATAGCATGAAAATTGTTTTTCCAAACCCTGGAGAAAATTTTCATTTTTCATCCGATTGCGAATTGAGGAGAAATTTCAAAAAGGTACTAAGATGTGACTTGACAAAATTCTGAATTCTGAACGCTGGCAGTATCACAAAGAGACCATAAGAGAATTATGTTCACGCAATTCAATAAAAAAAAGGTCCGTGAATCTTTCAACTCTTTGTTGTCATTTTATGTCAGGTACTTATTCATGGAATGCTGATATCCTGGTGCATGAACAGCTAACTGAAATACGATCGTTTTGTGTTTATGTCACTCTTCGTTTGCAATGCTATTATATTAGCCTTTAGCTGTATCATAACTGAAACGTAGTTACGCCATAACTATAAACTATAAATAGAAGTATGAAAATCGATGATCTAGCTATGTGGCTTGCGATTTAAGCTAATACCTCTTCAAATTACGAATTACTTTGGAATTCAAAACCACTGGAAAATTGATGTTTCAGAATAGTCCCCAGCAAACATTAATTTTGATATGGGGCATTGACGACCAAATATATTTTTTCCATACCTGATATCAGCGGCCCAGTGAAGGGTCCCATTTGCGGGTTTCAATATATCAGTAAACTGGGCCGGCAGCTGGTCCCAGTGTTGCTACCCAGCAATCATATTCAGTTCCCCGGCAAAAGGCCAGCACAACAAAATCGACAAATTGAGTTTTCCATAGCAAGCCCAGCATATACATAAATGATGGGACTGTAATGGCCAATTGACGACATTGGTAGATAATATCGAGGTATAGGGATAGGAGTAGGGCTTTAGGAGGTCCAATGGATATGACAGTTTTAGTAACTCTTTATTTGTTAATGTAACCCTCTCATCATATTATATCAAACCAAACACATACCACATTTCTAAGAAATCATTTTATATATGAAATTAGAAACATGCACTAGATTGTAGGTACATACATTGATACTTACTCAATATTATCATAATTAGAGAATTCATCTTCTTCATTTTCAATTGAGAATACTCCGGCCATCATAAATAATCACCAGGGAAAATGAGGAGCACAAGAGTACTACAACAAACCAGAGAAAAACGAAACATATCGTCCCTCAAAACACGTAGTGGAGTATCTCAGAAATATTCAAAATTGAGGTACAACGGATACATACTAAACTTTTGATGCCCTTTCGATTGCGCGTAGTGGTGTACCTCAATAATGC